GCGCGCACTTAACCGCTAAGCCACGGGGCCGGCCCTATATACACTTTTTAAATACCTTATTTTAAAGACATCATTCTTCTCTAGAAGCTCAGTCTAGTGGGAGGGTCAGACAATAATAAAGGTTAATAGTAGCCCTTTTTAAATACTATAATGTTGGCACCAGGAAAGTAGTATGTGACAAATGCAACAGTCATTCAGCTAATAAAATGGTGGCTAAAGAAGAGTTATTGAGACCAAAGTGTGGAAATACTGACTCTCGCTCTTGTGTCACTACTAAAGTATCCTCAATCCAGCCTCTTTCATAACTGCACAGAGAGAGATTATAACCAAAGTCAAGAAAATCAGGAAATCAGGCCAGCTCACTTGCGAAGGGCAAAAGAAAACTGTTTCATATTAAGACGAAATCAAGCTAAACTGCTTCTGCCAAGTGTTTACTTTCCATCTTACAATGAAACAAATATGAAATCAAGTTGATTGCCTTAAACTGACGGAAATATTAAGTTTAGGACTCACTCTCTCCCTAACCATTTCATCTTGTTTGTAGGAAAAAAACAGACCCATTACAAAGGTTTTTTGTTCTTTAATCCATTAAAAAAGAAATTATTTGTACCTTTGCTTTGAGGGGAGAGCCCAGGGACTCTGGAATGTGCAGGAAGTTTCCAGAAAAACCTCTAACCAAGAGAACATTCTCAACTTGGACCTTATTCCTTTACCTTAAAGCTGCACTGTACGTACCCTGCAGCCACTGGTGGCTATTGAGCCCTTGAAATGTGACTAGGACAAATTGAGATGTAAGATACTGGATTTTGATGACTTACTATAAAAAGGGATTGGAAAATATCTCAACATTTTTTACACTGATTAGGCGTTGATGATATTTTGGGTATATTGACCTAGATTTAAATATATTATTAAAAGTAATTGCTAGTTTTAAAATGTGGCTGTTAGAAAATTTAAAATTACACGTGTGGCTCTCATTTCTATCAGGCAGTGCTCATTTGAGAGAGCAGGGCTGTGGTCAGCTGAAGTGAAACCGCACCCTGCCTCTGTGACTCCGGGCAAGTGTCTTACCTTTTCTGACTTTCAGTTTGTCTTGTGGGTTCTCTGGAAGACGAGTACCATTCTGCGTGGGAAGTTTTTAGCATCCTGCCTTGCACACTCTTGAGTAAGAGCCTTATAGTAAATACTTAATAAATAACTGCTGTTATAATTCTCAGGCTGGTTCCCGTTAAAAAGGAACATCTCAGGAACACCCCGACCCCCTCCCACACACACGCACGCACACACACACTCACAAGCCTAGCACATATTACACAAGCAATTCTGTCCCAGAGCCATTTCTTAGGAAGACCAGGCAGGCTGGCGCCCTGCCGACGGATATGGAAAGGCTGCCCCCTAGCGGACAGCGGAGGAAGGATTCTGTCGCTGAGGCTCAAGCGCGAGCTGCCAGGACCCTGGGCGGGGGGGGCACCAGTCTCAGCCCCCTCCGCGGGGTCTGGAGCTTAAAGGGGTACACAAGACGTCCAGCGCCGCCCCTTCTGGGGCTTTGCGCCCCGGAGAGGCGCACCTGGAAAGATCTAGCTCAAGCTGTGTCTGGAACCGAGGAAGAGATGGGGGGGAGGTGGAAAGCCGAGGAGGGGGGTGTGCCCGGCAGCTGGAGATCAGAGGTTGGTTGTGTCAAGCAAGCCAGGCAGGGCTGGGCCAAGCAAAACTGGGAAACGGGTAATATTTGTTTGGGTGGGGCTGTCAGTAATAACTGACTTCTCTACAGGGTGTTACTTTCAATAAAGAACCACGTTTAAACCTCGCGGTGACACATTTTGACAAGAGGAAATGGGCATGGAGAGGTGAAATGACCTAGCCAGCGTCCCTGGGAAGTTCAAACACGGGCTGAACAACCACTTGGCCCAGCTCAGCTACCTCCCTCTGGAGACTTGGGCAAGTTCCTAACTCCACTGGGCCTGGCTTTGCTTAGGAGTTAGAGAGAGTAACGGCCACAGCACGGGGTTGTTATTAGGGCTTGAGGATACCAGTAAGCAGAGACGTCTTGATAGGACAGGCTTGTAGAAGTTGCCACGGGAGGCTCCTGTGAAATAAATGGTCTCAGTCTTGGGAGTTAATTATTCTGGAACACTCTAACCAAGCTCTCACTTTAGTGATGGTGACTGGTGTCTGGCACAACCATGGGGACAATTTGGGGGCTTGAGTGGGGCAGTTAGGTACCTCCTGAACAGTATCGTCTGAAATCCCTCCTACGCTGCAGGGTCCTAGCATCAGGGGAGAAATGGGTGTACATGGAGGCTCTTAGTTCCTTCATTGAAGTGGAACCCGTTCCTTACACCCAAAAAGACCCGTCAAGTCACAGACCCCTATGTCCATTCCCACTCCTGCAACTGATAATTCTCTCGAACAGATGCCCCTCCTGAGCTGCCAGTACCTCAAGAGCCACCGGGAACGGCGCCTGGCCCACTTGGTCTTGAGCTTTATTTCCACGGGCTATATCTGGCAGGAAGGAGAGACAAAGCCCGAAGAGGTGAGGAAAAACATGAAGGTCATCTGGTGGGTCTGCTGAGCCAGGAACACACTCTGCTTGGCACTGTCCTGTTTTCCTGGAAAATGGGTCCTTTCCTATTCTTTTCTTGGGTATGAGTTGAGGGAGGGTGAAGGGCCCGTTTAAATGAAAGACTTTTATTCCCTGACTAGGAATTTAATTTTCTTTAGAAATGGTAGCCATTTCTCCCTTTCATTAGCTTTCAAGTCTGTTTTTTCCGGCACCCTCTTCCAAGAATGCTTGAAGAGTTGCATTTGAAGACAAGTTCTGAGAGCTCATAAAATAGCTTGCATTTTACAGCATTGTGTATTCTTATACACATATGCTATCTTGATGGATTTTCACAATCTCGTAAGGTAAGTAGAGCTACGTACTCTGTGCCCATTTGACAGAGAGCTGAGGACTAGGGAAGTTAAATTCCTTGTTTAAGGACAGATGGCAAGTTAGTGAAAAAGCCATGGCCAGACAGAGACCTTCTGAGTTCAGGTTAGCTTCCTTCCCCGGAGGCACACGTTGACATTTACAACACTAATCTTTATTTTTTTTCTAATGATGCTTTCTTTCTACTGATTATTGATTATTGATTATTGATTAACAATTCATTTAAATCTCTTCAGAATCTTTGCCTACCTTTTTATAGTTTCAGCCTGAACCTGGAGACATGAAATCTCTGAGTTCCACAGCCCACAGTATGAATTATGACTCCCTTTCATCTTTTGTAAATGCACCGTTTCCAGGAGTCAGGGAGCCCGCCTCTTCTGGACTCCATGGTTAAGTGAACAGCCCACGCCTGTTTTGTTTGCCTGGTTGATCCTATTTCTTACTGTTCAAGTAAATGCAGGAGACTCCCCTGAGAAAAGGAAAGGAAAAGAGAAAGGAGAGAGAAGGAGAGGATAGAGCTGCTTCAGACATTTTAAATGTCAGTACATCTTACTTCAAAAAATCGTGCATCCGATGTTGGAAAGTTTGAAATCTAGGCACACGACAGAACATCCCCCTGGGTTTCTCTTCCCCTTCTGCTCTCTAAACATAATGCTAACTGGGGGGAAGGGTGGAGAAGGGTGACAGAGGAGGAAGCCTCCAGCTTCGAGGTGTGTCTGTGTACTTTCCCCAGCTCGGATCATCTCTTACTTTCTTTGTATACTCTCTGGCTTTTCAGCTAAGAAGACACCTCACCTCTGCACTGCCCTCCTCATCCCCTGCGTCCCGAGGGAAGCTAGCCTTACATCTGAACTTCAGAACTCTTTAAAGCTCTTTAGTGTTTTCTACCTGAGGAATGGTTCCGTCCCAAATCCATCTAAAGAGCTAAGGGGAAACAAAGGCAGAAGCAGGGCTTTGTTAGAGATACTTCTGTCTTAAGGGGAAGTAAAAACGGAAGTGAGACCTGGGAGCAGGAGAATGTTCTTCTGGAGTTAGACTCATTTAGCCTTGTCCACGAGTAGAAACCCCACACTGTGGCTCCGGGTAGCTTTTCTGGATTTGTGGGCAGATAAGGCTCTTCAGGGTGTTCCTCAGATAACTTGGGGGGTGAGTGAGGATGGTCTCGAGGTGACTTACTTGAGTTGTTACTGGGTTGGACTTATGAAGTGAGTGACAGTCGGCTGCCACACAGGATGAAATGTTCTGTCCTCCCCATTCCGTTCCCTGATTGACACTTAAACACACACACACACACACACATATATAAATGCTCTTAGTTTTATACACACACATACATCTACATATTATGTATATATGTCTATCTATAGATAAATGGATAGATACAGAGATAAAGATTTTTTTCTCACTGCTCATCAACTTAGCCCCCAATTCATGCTTAAAAATGCCCTTCTTTGAACAGTCAATTTTCAGGGATTATTTTATATTATGTATGTATGTATGTGTTCCAATTTTGTAATTTTCACATATATTTTAGATGGTATTTGTAAACAGTTTATCTGCTAGGTTGTTAATGAGAGTGAGGTGTGTGTGTACAGGTCACTCACATAATTCCAGTTTTAGCCCCAGGTGCTTTCTCTACCACAGGATTGTTGGAATAAAAGATAACCATGATGACTTCCTCTGCTGCATTCTTTCTAGAATATGCTAATTGTCTGGATTTATGTCTGAAAGGTTCTGCCGAGAAATCTTGCCATTCCCTTTGTTGAAGTCTCCAGGAACTTGGGGCTCCCTCCTATCCTGGTCCACTCAGACTTCGTGCTGACAAATTGGACCATGAGGAATCCAGAAGGGTAAGGAAGGGAGAGAGTGCTTTGGATTTGAACAGATTGAAACTCAGTAAGGGGCAGTCTTGTAGCTTTTACTCTCCTACCAGAAAGGCCCAGGTGTTTTCAGCTATTTTGTGATTAGAGATGTTCATGTTTATTGTCTGCTTTATGGTTCCAAAGAAGGGGTGACCTTGAACACAAGTACACAAATCATAGTTCCCACAAGTTTCCTCTCAACTCACTCTGAATACACTGGTGCAGGCTAGTTTTCTTGTTTGCTTCCACATCAAATCTGAATTTCTCAGCCTGACCTTCAAGCGCCTGTATAATCAGACTTCACTCATTCTTTCTCACCAAATTGTTTACTGTTCCCTAGCATGCCCTCCATTCAAGTCAGTTAGGACCAGGGACTTCAGTAAGCGATCATTATACAGTGATCGTAAATGAAGGGTTGTGGATGAACTGAGAGTAGGTGCTCTAGGTGTGTTGGATTGAGAATCTGATTAATGATGCTATCTATTCTACCCACCTGGCACCATTCCTTTGGAAGCTGGGCTGGGAATATTGGCATTTGCCTAAAAAAGAAATAGCATGAGTTTTTTTTTGTTTTTTTTTTTGTGTGAGGAAGATCAGTCCTGAGCTAACATGCGTGCCAATCCTCCTCTTTTTTTTTGGTGAGGAAGACTGGCTCTGAGCTAACATCTATTGCCAATCCTCCTCCTTTTTTTCCCCCAAAGCCCCAGTAGATAGTTGTATGTTATAGTTGCACATCCTTCTAGTTGCTGTATGTGGGACGTGGCCTCAGCATGGCCGGACAAGCGGTGCGTTGGTGAGCGCCCGGGATCCGAACCCCGGGCCTCCAGCAGCGGAGCGCGCGCACTCAACTGCTAAGCCATGGGGCCGGCCCCAGCATGAGTTTTTAACAAGCAAGAAATTCCAATAAATGGAATGAGATGTAAGAGTTGAAGTATTAAATTTTCCTTGGAACTTCATTATCACAACCAAATTTATTTCAGGCCCTAGATGCAAGAGATAGTACTTTCATGACTTACTAAAATAGTTTGAAGGGACATTTGAGTTAGATGAGAGGAAGAACTTCCTTAGCATAAGTGTTAGGAGTAACTACAGGGTTGCCAGAGGAGATGATGAGACTCTGCTTTAAGGGATTAAATACTTAGTAAACAACATAGCTTTTGGGCCTAATTTATGTGCCCCTTGGAGGAAGTGAGATTGGGCCATCTCTTCTCTCTAAGGACTTCTCAGCCCAGGATTTTATGTTTTCTATAATTATTAATTAAGATCCTCGACCAATTCTGCTTTAACAACAAAATTGGCAAGCAATATTCCCATGGAAAGCTGCTGAATCTGGCTCAGGATTTGGATGGAAAGAAATAATAAATATATGTGTGGAAGTGGTTCTGGTCAAGACATTGAATATTGAATAAACTGTATTTCTGATTCAAACAAAAAGAGAGGCGGAGGGGAGGTTGAAGGGAGAGATGGCTGGACTAGGATGGTAAAGTCAAAAATACAACAACAAAAAGCTAGTCTCTCAGTGGGTGAGAGTGCAGGGCTGGTTTAATCCCAGAGATGCAGACACAGTCCTGGGGTGGAGTAGGTACTCTTCCTGATAATTATTTTTTGGAGTCTTTTAATATGCCAAGTACAGAGTTAAGTGCTATGAAGAAATGAGAGAAATGGAAGCAAAGTACACCCACAGTGGTTAAAGAATGAAACAAAACAGTGCATGACAGTCAAAGAGTGACACGAACAGTCTTTAGGTTTTCAAAGAAACTACATTATAGCAGGCTTTAAAAACCAGGAAAAAAGCTTGGTGAGAGGGTGGAACTTGATCCAAGGTAGGTGCTAAAAGATGAGTAGAAGTAGGATAGTCATTAGAAAAATGTGAGTTTCAGGTAATTACAAAAATATAAAAGGAGTAAGATAATTGATCATGATGGCCATAACTAAATGTTTTGGGACTGATATATGAGTTGAGATTTGGCTCACTCTTTGTCACACAGTGACCCACTGTCTAGTCACAACCTGTGACATCCAAAGTGTGCATGGATGTGTGTGCATCTGCATTTGCATACGAGTGTGCATACCTGTGTACATGTGACCCCAGAAGGCATATCTGGTTTACAAACTGATTTGTTCTTTTCTTTCTCTTTTTGTGGTTGTCAATAACTGAAATTTGACTAGACCCATGGATATTGGGTAAGTTCTCTGAAATCCTTCACTCACTTTAGAATTCACACTAACTTTAAAAGCTTATAATAAAACAAAAAAGAAAGCATACCAAATTGTATGTATAGTATATGACCCATGTAAAAAAGCCCGAAAAAATAAGGCTAAAAAGAAATGTGCCGAAAGTTAACAATGGTTGCCTCTGCCTTGTAGGGATTATGGGATTAATTTTCTTTACTATATTTTCCAATCTGTAAAACAGACTGGAAATAAACAAGTAAAGTGCAATGCAAGAAAAAGAAATTCACCAATTCTCTAATTCTCTGTGATTCTTTGAAGTCTAATGATCTGAGAAAGATCTCTCATGTCACCATAACTTCTAGGAAAGGCCAAATTGCAGGCAGTGGTTGCTATAGCCACATGAGAATTCCGTTGAAATGTCTTGTTATTACACGAACTAGAGCTCGTGGGGCAGGTCTGGTCCAGACATCCTCAGGCTCCTCTTTCCCCAGAGAGCAAAATGAGCCTCTAAATTGATGTTGCCTCTCCCATCACTAAACCTCAGCTCAATAAGGGGTTCAGTATAAAACCTGCAGCTCAGGACATGGAGGAATGGACGGGTGGAGACGCCACTTCCCACGCTAATGTAACTGCTGGAACTGTGGGGTTCCTGACTTATTTTCCTTTTGTATTTGTTTTTTATCTCTTCTCATGTTTAATATATTAGAGGCAGAAGTGATTTACGCAGTGAAATTTTTAGGTTGTGTAGACTAGATCTACATCTGGGATATTTGAATCTGTATGATAACAGATCATTTAAAAATGATTTCTTTGTAACAGTCTTCCAGCTCTCACTCTATTATACAACATTTGGGGGGAAAAAATGACTGATCAGAAAGGGCACTAGCCTGAGTTATGAAACTGTATGAAACCAGCTGTATGATCTTGAGGCTGTTTTGCTTCTTTGGGCCATTGTTTCCTGCCTGTAAAAAAGGAGCATGGAATTAGCTGTGGCCTGCGGTCATTGTAGCTCCGTGCTTCTGGTAGGAATGGTGTGATGGGCAGTAGCCTGGCCCTGTGAAGAATCGCAGTGCCCGCCCACTCCTGCTTCAGCTGTTCCATTGGGCGGGTGGTCCAGAACCAGCAGGGCCATGCTAGACTTTGAGAGTCCTCAGGTCAGGTGAGCTTGGGCCTGACGAGATCTATTCCCTTGACTTCCTGAATGTTGCTGAAGGTGGTGCTCATCCTCGGCTGTCCTGTGGAGAGGAAAGAGTTGTTTGCTGATTCCACCTTGCACTTATGGTTGTCTAACTCTGAGGGGACCTGTGGGCCAAACCTCTCTAACCATGTGGTCATCTCTTTTCCAAGGAACTTGGATACCATCATCTCACTTCCTGGGGGAGAAAGCCTGCGTGGTTTTATACTGGTGACTGTTTTGGTGGAGAAAGCAGCAGTACCTGGGATTAAGGTATCTTCTCACTCACAGCACTATTTTGTTTCTAAATGAGAAATCTGTCTGAGCTTTACTTCCCACCCAGTCCCTCCCCCTGCTGTGAATTAGTCAATATAGATGAACACAGGCCTTGTCCCACTTGGTTTATGTCTGAGGAAAGAGATCTAAGTTCTTGCCCACAGAGATATCTCCCTTTCCTCAACTCCTGTAAACCTTGGAATTGTTGAATTTGTCCACTCAACAAACAAGCATTGTTCTGGGCAATGGAACATCAGGGGAACAAGACAGACATTGTCCTGGCCGCACAGAAGCTCATAATCCAGTGGAGGAAGATGGGTCCATATATAAGGGTAACAGGAAAAGAATGCAGTGTTGTGTGAAAAGATGTCTAAAACTTAATCCAGGCCTGAAGGGTCAGGCAAAGCTTCCCAGAGGAAATGAGAGCTAAAGTTAAAACCTGAGTAATATATAGGAATTAGACCGAGAGACAGAAAGAGACAAACAGACAGACATATTCCTGGCAGAGAGAACTGCTGTATAAAGGCTCAGAGGAAAATAACCATAATTGAGATTACCTATCCCTGGGTGCCTGCAAACTTGAATTCCTCCAAGGGTTAGGCAGCTGACAGAAAAGACGGGGATAAGACAGAAGATGGTGGAGCAGTGGGTGATCCGCTAAATCCATGTCATGCCTGAACATATTTAGGGTAGGTTTACGTCTTCCCTCACCACCTTCCCTGGTAAGCGTATTTCGAGGGCTTACTGTGTCCTCCGCAGGGTGACCAGTCGTGGCATAATATAGCTCTGTCTTTCACTCCCAAAAATGAAACTTTATGGTCCTTTTATCTCTCATCCATGTGTTTAGTCCATCAAAAGACACACAATAAAATATTGGTCTTCCAAGTATAGCTCCAATCAGGTAGAAACTGCTAGAGACAGAGAAGGATTCCTGATGGAGGGGGCTCTGGAGCTGGAGGCCCTACAGAATATGTCTGATTTTATGTAAGACAGAGCTCAGGAATGAGGGTGTCCTAGGTGGAGATGATCATAATGTGTGATAAATTCAGAAGAAGGAAGGAGCAAAATGATAGAGGTAGGCCCCTGAGAGGTATATTAAGAAGTACAGTCAGTGGAAAGATCCAGAAAAACCTAACCAGGGGTCTATCCCAGAGGGAGTTTCCTTTCAGGCATACCTCACCGGAAGTCTAGTTTAGGAGCATTCCTGGGGGAGCCTGTCAAACAGCCCAGCAGTCAGAGGGGGGCCCTTCCCCAGGGTCCCCACAGCTCTGCAGCTCACTCCACCTCAGCAGACTTTGGTGAATGCTAATGCATTGAGTGAATGAATCTCCTCCCCAGGCACTTGTTCAGGCAGTGAATGCCATCATGCAGCCCAGCCAGGACTCCCTGCTTCAAGCCCTGCAGCACCTGAGACTCTGCATTCAGGACATCACCAGAACCTTAGGACGAATGCATGGTATGGGGGTCCTGAAGGCTGACTGCTCTGCTGGGGGGAAAGGAGCCTGGAGGTTGGGCAACATCCACGAGATGATGCTGGTGCATCAGCTTTGTTTTAAGGTAGCCCATTGCTGTTCACGTTACTGGAAAGGGATCTCTCAGTTTGCAGGGATATTCTGCTGGTTTTGTCCTTCTTGTCTTGCGATTAGAGTAGTTCCTCTCTTCAGTGGCCATACATTTCTTGGCATGTTGAAGTCTTGCATGAAGCTTGGGAGGAGGGGATGAGGCACACAGCAACGTTGGTTGCACCTGCTCCATCCAGCAGTGTTAGGCTACTGCAGGGCAGAATGTGATGAGGGAGTTTGTCCTTACGTTCTCTAATGCCCCTTTCATTCTTTTCTCAGGTGGGTGGAGATGACTGACCTTGGCTTTAGGCCTTATCTGATGGCCCTCCTGGTGCTCCTTCTCTGTGGATAGCACAGAGATGAGTTGTCAGAGGTGTGGCCAGTTAAGCGGCCCACCCTTCCTGCCATTGGTTAATCTTGTTCTGGTGACTACATTCCTTTTCCAATGTCTGGGCAGCTCTTCAACTACCTCTAACAGAGAATCTAAAATACGTATCTGGTGTGTGTTTAAGGAAGGTGTAGGAGAGGAATGTGATCTATTTATCAAGGGAGAGGCACCTAAATTTCCCTGACTCCTGCTTCACTGAAAAAAAGAGGGACTCTGGGAAAGCAGAGTGTTTACAGGAAACAGGAGAGGAGGGAGGGAGAGGGAGACAGGTGGTGCCAAGCTTTATTACTTTTGATTAAAAGAGTAAATTTATTTGTCATCTCAGGCTCTGCGCCAGCAGAATTCCATCTGAAGTCACAGGGTTATGTATTATTTCCATTCAACTTCCCTGTTTTATATTTTAGATTCACATTTCCTCCATTTCCCTGAATTTTAATTTTAAAGTCTTCTTAATCACATCAGTAGGTCTTCTGCCAAACAAGCTCTCCACACTTAGTGAGATAGATTTTAGTTCTGCCAAGATACCCTGCGTTTGTTACTCAGGGTATCAAGACCATTAGAGGTACATGGCAGGTGTCTTCAGATCTGTGAACGGGCAGAAAAGTGAGAAGTTTGGAAGGTTGTAAGTGGCCCTCCACCTGACCCAGCACATGTTACAGTAAGATGGCATGCCTGTGTCTGATTGTCACAGGCTTTCCTAGTGTCATTAGCAGAGTCACTTCTTCAGCCCAGACCAACTCCAATGCTCTCTTGATCAGCCTCTGCAGGAGGTCTGATAGTCTGGGGAGGTGCCAGGGCTATTTCCCTTGTTTCCCCCAAAAGCAAATTTTCCCACACAGACATAAATTATTTTGAAGGTTTTACTATTAGTCACTACAGTGAAACAGATGAATGTTTCAGCCTGCATTTTCCCAAGATGGCGACAACAACATCTGCCATCCTATATGGTCCTTTGTGATGAGACCTTGACACTCCTCTCACTTCGGGGTGGAGACTGTGTCCCTGCTTGTGACGTAGGGGGGCTTGGTACATGCTTGTAATCAATAGAATGCAGCAGAAGTGACACCACATGCGGTCGGAGGCAGGGCTAGAAAAGGCGAAGAAGCTGCCACCTTGTATACTGAGCCACCATGTAAAAAGTCCACTTACCCTGAGGCCACTGGGCTGTGAAAGAGGACACCAAGCCACACAGAGAGGCCGTGGGTAGGTTCTCCAGTGGCGCCTGGCACAGGAACCAGTAAGCCCTCAGATGATTCTAGGCTCCTACCTTTAAGTCATCCTCAATCTTCAAGTCTTCCCACCTGGGTCCACCTGGGGACCCAAACACTGTGAAGCCGAGACAAGCCATCTCCACTGTGTCCTGTCCAAATTCCTGACCTGCAGACTCCATGAGTGTAATATAACGGTTCTTTTAAGCCACTGAGTTTGCAGTGGTTTGTTATACAGCCATAGTAACTAGAAAAATGAAATTATAAAAATAATAACAAATACTAGAAACTTCAAGGTTTAAGGAATCACACAAATTTTTGAGTCATTGTCTCTGGTTTATAGTTGCTAACTTTCTTCTGCAAGATACATAGAACTTGACTGAACTTCTTCCCTCTGCCTTTTGTTCCGCAAAATGGAGCTTACCAAAAATTCCTTCTTTCTGAGCTCAACTTTAGCAAGAGTTATGTGCTCTCCTCCTTTCCTCCATAAAGACCTCCTTTCCAGGCACGTAGGTCTGAAGTCATGCCCAAGGCAGAGGAGAAGGTACCCTTCATTTTAGGGCTGCAATTCACATTTCTGAGGACCTAAGTCACTAAGCCTTTGCCCCGCCAACACATGATTTCCACGTCACAGTTTTACACAGCTCTCACCACTGACTGGAAAATACATAAAATTCATAGCCTGACTCCCACAAGGTAGAAGTCCATAACAACACTGCACATATGGACCATCCCCACTTCACCGTGCTGCAGGATCCATGTTTAGTCTTCCTTCTGTGGTGGTTTACAGAGAACTCAGCCCAGTCTAAGCTTTGTGCTCCACTGGAAGGCTAAAATACATTCAGGCTTTCAAGCGTCTGGGTTATACCGGCGTGTTTCTTGACAAGCTTATTAATAGCTTCTGTTCTCTAAGAATTAATTTTTTCCTCGGAAAAGCTGAGGGGTAATTTTCTCTCCAAAAAGCCATGGAAATTTTTGCCTTGTATTTTCTTCTGAATCAACACAGTTTCCAGCTTCTGCTTGACCTATTGGTAGCCATAAGAATTTCTCTATTAATGGTAACGAAGAGTCAAAATATTTCCTTCTCACAGTTTGATGTGAGTTTAAATCACGTTTCTGAGTCAGTAAATTGGTGCTAAACTGTAGTGTGAACTTCTGCTGCCGTCCTCTTCTGATTAGTTCAATTAATTTTGTCCAAGGAATTTTCCTTCTTAACTTGTGAACTTATTCGTCTCAACCTATCTAGAAAATAAACACCGAAATTCTTCTCTACTAAGTGCCGTGATAATACGACCACGTTCACGCTTCCTAAATGTCTTCACTCATAGATTAGCTACACAGTGATCTGCATGTACCCAAATCACCTGAACCACCATCTCATCCCTTAGTCCAGTTCTGTCATGTCAGCATCCAATCTGGAGCATGCACACTCACACATACACAGAACCAATTCGCAAAATAGTGACGAGTTTTATGAATCTTCACAGAAGAATTCTTAGGAATATAAGGAAGAACTTAAATTACATATCTTACGTCAAAAATATCTAAAAATCTACAACGATTATTACTGTCGTATATGGTTATGAGTCACTCTGATCTGCTTACGTATTTGAGCCTTCTTAGCTCTTGACTCCTTTGTACGCATTTCTTTAGCCTGAAGTGTACCTGCAGGATTTCCTCTAGTGAGGGTCTGCTGCTGCCAAACTTGCTCATTTGAAAATTACCTTATTCACTCCAATTCCTGAAGGATATTTTTGCTAGCAGCTCTTTTCTTTCAGATGTTGAATAGATCAGTACAATACCATCTGGTTTCCATTGTCACCACTGAGAAGTTACCTGTCAGCCTGACTGTCACTTGTTTGGAGGCAATCTCTTTTTCCTCTGTCTGCTTGTAAGAGTCACTCTTCATCTGTCTATCTTCTGCGTTGTTCAGTTTATTACATGTAGGCTTCATTATGCTTCTTTAATTGATGTGATTCAACACTCTGGACAATTCTTAGCCATTAAATCTTCACAAATTGTCTATGCCTCCTTCCCTTCTTCTCTCCTACTTGAACTTTAACTGAGAATCTTAGACCTTTCCACTCTATTCTCCCTTCTCTTAAAGTCTTGCTGTTATTTTCCATCTCTTTTTTTTCTCTGTGCTGCATTCTGGATTAATTCTTTGGATCTAATTAATTGATTTTCTCTTCAATTACTTCCAGTCTGCTGCTAAATATGTACATTGAGTAGATTATTTTATTTTTCATTTCCAAAAGTTATATTTTATTATTTTCTTTCTTTCTTTCTTTTTTGTGAGGAAGATCAGCCCTGAGCTAACATCTGTCGCCAATCCTCCTCTTTTTGCTGAGGAAGACTGGCCCTGGGCTAACATCCGTGCCCATCTTCTTCCACTTTACATGGAATGCTGCCACAGCATGGCCTTACAAGCAGTGCATCCCTGCGCGCCTGGGATCTGAACCCGGGGCAGCCGCAGCGGAGCATGCGCACTTAACCGCTACGCCACTGGGCCTGCCCCCATATATTTTATTATTTTCTGGGCCTGCCCCCATATATTTTATTATTTTCTGGGCCTGCCCCCCATATATTTTATTATTTTCTGATTTGTAATTTTCTGTTACCTATAGATATTTTCACGCTTCCTTTTGGTTTTCTGAAACGTAGTAAGTGTGGTTGTTTTATAATCTGTGTGTGATAATTCTAATATTTGAAACTTGTTTCTGTTTGCTTCTTATTTCCTTTTTTCTATTGGTTCTCATGTTTTTTTGTTTGCTTGATTTTTTTCCACTATGTAAAGGTCACTGTCCTTGAAACATCGCTTGTAGGCAGTCTTTGGGGATTAAGGTAAAGAAATATGTATATTTAGTGCTTCCTTATTCATGGGGACACTAAAATCCTGGGTCATCTTACATCAAGTTTAGCAAGTGAGGATCCATGTAGCAATCAGGCAACTGAACTTGGGCTGAAACTGTGCAAAAAATGGTCACAACTTTTTAGGGACAGATTTTTTTTAATCCTGCTTTGCTCGGTGCCAAGGTAACCTTAATTTTGTCTCCTGTGGCAAGCAGGGGTGGGGTGGGAGCTCTGATTCACACTGAAGTTGAGGGCATGTTTGGGGCTCCCAGGTTAACATAAGGAGGGTATCATGTAAACTTCCTCACCACGGCTGAGGCCAGAGCCGTACTTCTGCTCCCACATAACAGAGAAGCCACCAAAACCAAAGCCCAGGTGAACCTGGATTGGCAAATGCCTTCATGGAGAAGCGGCTTTGCCACTTTATTTTCTGCCTCCCTCTCTG